AGTGTGAGTGTGAGTGTGAGTGTGAGTGTGAGTGTGAGTGTGAGTGTGAGTGTGAGTGTGAGTGTGAGTGTGAGTGTGAGTGTGAGTGTGAGTGTGAGTGTGAGTGTGAGTGTGAGTGTGAGTGTGAGTGTGAGTGTGAGTGTGAGTGTGAGTGTGAGTGTGAGTGTGAGTGTGAGTGTGAGTGTGAGTGTGAGTGTGAGTGTGAGTGTGAGTGTGAGTGTGAGTGTGAGTGTGAGTGTGAGTGTGAGTGTGAGTGTGAGTGTGAGTGTGAGTGTGAGTGTGAGTGTGAGTGTGAGTGTGAGTGTGAGTGTGAGTGTGAGTGTGAGTGTGAGTGTGAGTGTGAGTGTGAGTGTGAGTGTGAGTGTGAGTGTGAGTGTGAGTGTGAGTGTGAGTGTGAGTGTGAGTGTGAGTGTGAGTGTGAGTGTGAGTGTGAGTGTGAGTGTGAGTGTGAGTGTGAGTGTGAGTGTGAGTGTGAGTGTGAGTGTGAGTGTGAGTGTGAGTGTGAGTGTGAGTGTGAGTGTGAGTGTGAGTGTGAGTGTGAGTGTGAGTGTGAGTGTGAGTGTGAGTGTGAGTGTGAGTGTGAGTGTGAGTGTGAGTGTGAGTGTGAGTGTGAGTGTGAGTGTGAGTGTGAGTGTGAGTGTGAGTGTGAGTGTGAGTGTGAGTGTGAGTGTGAGTGTGAGTGTGAGTGTGAGTGTGAGTGTGAGTGTGAGTGTGAGTGTGAGTGTGAGTGTGAGTGTGAGTGTGAGTGTGAGTGTGAGTGTGAGTGTGAGTGTGAGTGTGAGTGTGAGTGTGAGTGTGAGTGTGAGTGTGAGTGTGAGTGTGAGTGTGAGTGTGAGTGTGAGTGTGAGTGTGAGTGTGAGTGTGAGTGTGAGTGTGAGTGTGAGTGTGAGTGTGAGTGTGAGTGTGAGTGTGAGTGTGAGTGTGAGTGTGTGTGTGTGTGTGTATATATGTGTGTGTGTGTGTGTGTGTATACAAAATTACTGAAACTTTTAAACTAATTAAACTATATAATCGTTTAAAAAAATAATAAAATTGACAAAAACATAATTGCTAAAACTTAAAAAAAAAAGTATTAAAATTAATGTAAACAAAATGTAAACATAAAAATAGATTCAAATGATTACTGACTATAATAGTTTCTCAGTAATACTAAAATAACACTGCTTGCTGTGAGTGAATGCGGACGTAACTCACTCATCTGTTCAGGTTGATCTGATTAAATGTCCCTAATTTAGGGTATTAAAATGAAAGAGAAGAATATTGTTTTATTTTGTTATAATTCAGAAGCCATCTAAATTCTTTGTGTTCTATTATAGATAATGCTACAGTAGTGAAACTGAAAGCAATTAAATGCTTTTCTTTCTTTCTTCATTATTTAATGTATGCATAAATAAATCTGTCAAGAAAGCAAGTTTTTACTGTAGCTACTATTTAAATGTTCATATCGCGACAACAAATTTGGAGTAGAAACAAAAGTTTAGATAATTAAATGCTTATACGTTTAGATTATTAAATAAATTATATTGATTAATTACACAATCACGAATCTTGAAAAACAAATCCGCTGATTTGCAAAAAAAAAAAAAGGCCAAATATTACCTAATTTATGATTCAGAGTTCAAAACAATAACTAAAAACATTCCATCAAGTACATCATTTTTTTTCTATTTTATTTTTTTTAATGCAATAATAAAGCAAAGCATTCAAAATGTATCATTTAACTTACAATCTGCAACGTGGAAAATGTGATTGAATGCTACATTAAATGTCAAAGAACTTCAAATAAACACAAGTTTATAAATAAAACAGCTTTTATCCCAATTAATCGGTGATTTCCTGCGGCTGTTTGGATGCAGTACAAGTTTTCTATTTTATTTTTTTTAATGCAATAATAAAGCAAAGCATTCAAAATGTATCATTTAACTTACAATCTGCAACGTGGAAAATGTGATCGAATGCTCCATTAAATGTCAAAGAACTTCAAATAAACACAAGTTTATAAATAAAACAGCTTTTATCCCAATTAATCGGTGATTTCCTGCAGCTGTTTGGATGCAGTACAAGTAGAAAACTGCTGGATCATGTTTGCATTTTCTTCCGTTAGTGGCCACAGTTCTACGCAAAATCAGGATTGGGCATAAAATAATGTCGTGCACATGAAAATGGTTCAAATAGAGACACGGGTCGTGTGTTTGTGGGAGCCTTTCTGCTGATTAATGGAAAATACAAGATCGTTCACCTTACAAATGCAGGTTGAAAGCTAAACTGCTATGAGATACACATATTTAGTGAGCGCGTGTGGCATGCTATAGCAAGCAGACAGCACCCCAGAATCAGTGAGAAACAAGTATTGGATTTTATTCAGCAAATATAGTGCAGGGCAGTGTTATTAAAGTGTACAAAATGCTTAAAGCAGCCTAACATGGTTTGCAGATCTCATCTGGCCATGGAGGTAGATTCTGCTTTAATAGTTAACGCTGGAACAGTGCTAACTGATGGTATTTTCCATCCTTACGAACACAAAGCAGCAGCAGCAGCGTCTCTTGAAAGGCTGACACGAATGGATGGCGATGAAATGTCTCTAATATAATGTGCTCTCCTCAGATAGCGCTGTTGACATCCAGGCCTCTGTAAAACACAGAGGAAAGCTGCTTTTCATTCACGTGTGCGTGTGTGAGGACTATCAAAAGAGATTTCACCTCTCCATCGCAGCTTCCCTTCGCTTGGCTGATGATCTTGTTCGCTTGTGTGCTTCACTCTGACTCAGGCTAACTGGAGTTAAAGGGTTAGTGGAGAAAAGTCATTTACTCACCTTCATGTTGTTCTTGGTTAATTGTTGGAACATGAAGTTAGATGAGATGAAAGAGAGGTTTCTGTTCCTGCTTCTGTCCAGGGAACATAAAAGACTATAAATGCAGCGGTTTTAATTGAAGTCTCGTGCCATCACTTTATATGATGAACAGATTTAGTCATTTATTCACAAATAAACACACAAACTGCTGTTTACCATACGAGTATTGTTTAGATGTGAATAAAAGCCTCATTTAAATCTGCTCAGTGTAGTGATCGTATCTCATCACAAGATTTGGATCGCGCAGTTCATTTGGATTTGTTTTGCGAAGGCTTTTTTAACATTTTGGATCTTCTGAGTTTTGGTTACCCGGACCTTCAGTGGGAAACAGAAACCTCCGGGGTTTCATTAAAAATGTCTTCATTTATGTTCCGGTGATTAACCAAGATTCTGGGTTTGTAGCAACATGAGAAAACGGCAGAATGTGTCATCAAAGCCATGTGTTGATGCATTTCCCAGAAGCAACTGCGGTCGATATCTCTGTTGTTACTAGCATAGCTCAGCATTGCATGGTTGAACTACAGCTCTCAACCTGCGCTTACACCTAGAGATGTAACGATTCACTCAACTCACGATTCGATTCACAATTTGTTTTTTACAAAACAAGATTTAAGACAAATTATAAATTAAATGTGTCCTTTTATTATTGCTTGGACAAAATGCTGCACGTTTCTTTGTGAAATTGAAATATAACGCTATAATATACTAATATGACACTTGCATATTATTGCTCTTTTGTTGATTTTGATTGCTTTTATTGTCCTCATTTGTAAGTCGCTTTGAATAAAAGCGTCTGCTAAACGACTATATGTAAATGTATTAACTGTGTTTACAGTTATTCATGAGATTGTACAATGCATTATAGACATAACTGATGCATTAAAACTACTTTTATAATGCATTATACATAAAGGTGTTAAATAGAGTGTTACCACACTTTCTTAAACCAGATGGTCAATAAAGAGACTGTTATTGAATCACATCTATCTAGTTAAACGTTAAAAGATCAAAACCTTGAAACGGGAACAAATCAAACGTGTCAAGCATTCTGAAAAACACTGAGCAGCTGTACTGAAGTGCTGTAAGAGCGTATCAGGTGACTGCTGTTCATTCTTCTGCGCTTACAGACCTTCCCGATCAATTCTTCTGCAGATTCTACAAGCTGTTAATCTGCTGCAAATGGCTAACTAAAGATTTTCTGCTCCTCTGTGTATACACACACACACACACACACACACACGCCTCTGCTCTGACCATATGTCTGCACTCAGAGCCACAAGCTGTCGAGGGTCGGAGGAGTGCTGAAGTGTGTGTGTTAGGGCTGTGCAATTAATCAAAAAACAGTTTCGATTTCGATTTTGCCCTCCAACGATTATGAAAATACTATAATCGAGATAAAACGATTATTGTGGCCCATTCCGCCCACTTTTCCAGCGCTGCGCTTTCGTTCCTCCGTAAAAGCCCAAATCCACGTGCAAATCAGTAAAATCATGTAACGTGACTTTTGCAAAATGGGACGTGCTTGATTTATAGAAGTATATGTATTCATGTTTTTAAAGGCGTTCTTGCTCCTCAGGAAGATATATGCGCTCAGAGACGGAGCAGAACACGGACATGTAGTCATCTTTTAGCTCAAGGTGTGCGCCTAAACAGTCAAATACATGCAAAAATGTGCTCTTGAGTGAAGGACTTTTGTAGCTTTAATAAGAAACTGCTTGAGACTTGCATAAAAAAAAAAAACATTAAAGCACAGTTTGTTTCATTTGTATCTTTTTGTTCTATTGTATTTGTCCCTTGCTTTTTTATTACGGACATTTTAATTATTTTCAATCATTTTGAGGACTTTTTGTTTGTTTGTTTGATTAAGTTTTGATATATTTACAGTAAAATATCTTCATGGAACATGATTTTTACTTAATATCCTAATGATTTTTGGCATAAAAGAAAAATTTATAATTTTGACCCATACAATGTATTGTTGGCTATTGCTACAAATATACCCCAGCGACTTAAGACTGCTTTTGTGCTCCAGGGCCACATATGGCCCCCTCGTAATCGTGTGTAAAAAATCAAGATTATGATTTTTGCCCTAATCGAGCAGCCCTAGTGTGTGTTCTGGGCAGGACTGAGTGTGCTCTCGTGTTTGTAGGGTTGCAGGCTCTGGATCGCTGCGGTGCTGCTGTGGCTCTGGTTCCTGCTGAAGATCTGCCGGATCGGTGTGTCCTCCGCGTCTCCTGCTGGCTCAGTGTGTAGCAGACCTTCTCTGACTGCATCAGATTGTTGATCTCGAGCTCAGATTGAGTCCATGACGCCTGTAATCTATGATGCTCTCTTTGTGTTATCAAATGCATGCATATTTGTGTTTGTTAAAGGGTTCATTCACCCAAATGATGGTTCTGTCATTCATGTCATTCCAAACCTTTCGTTCTTGAACACAAACACAAGTGCATGCTTCTCTTTTCCCTTCAGTGGAATTGTATAGCAGTTTTTTCTTCCCCCAGCTAAAGCAGTTTTGTTAGTGAAACAGCTTGTAAACAATGTCATGTAATGTCACATTTTCCTCATGAAAGACATTCAATGTCCATAAACAAAAATAACTAGAGAGGAGCATTTTGATAAATTACTAGTGCTGTCGAGCGATTAATCGCATCCCAAATAAATGTTTTTGTTTACATAATATATGTGTGTGTATTGTGTATATTTATTATGTCTATTATATCTGGCCCTACACATAAGTTAGGCACACACTTGATCTTGTGTTATCCTCAGGCTTCCCCATCAAAGACATTTATGTAAATGATACTGGTTTGTCTGACCATTGGCCTGTTGTGTTTGACAGTGAGTTTTTTTAATCTATTTTAAAGATTTGTTTTTAGCTTTGGCAGCTGGTAGTACCAATTTGGCATCGCAAGGCATGGATGTTGAGGATATGGTTATTAATTTCAATGCTTCTTGTACTGAAGTATTAAATGCAGTTGCTCCTCTCAAAGTTAAGAAAACCGAAAGAAAAAAGCAGCCCTGGCTAAATGAAGACATTGAAGCTTTAAGGAAAAAATGTAGAAGGGCAGAAAGAATATGGAAACGGGACAAACTGCAAATGTCTTATCAACTTTTGCAAGCTAGTCTGTCTCAATATCGGGAAGCTGTTTCTTTATCAAGGGCTAACTATTTTTCCAGTTTGATTGCAAAAAACTCCCATTGTCTGAAGACTCTATTTTCCACTTTAAACTCTATTGAATCCTTCAACTGCATCCGGTTGCATCCTGCAAGTTTTGCAGCTTCTTCATAGATAAGATTGCTGGTATTAGGTCTCAGATTTTATCATCCTCATCCGAGAGTTGTTATAATTTACAGATTAGTTCTTCTAGTCGGTCTGCTTTTCAGACTATATCCCACTCTGATTAGCTGGCTGTGATTTCTAATATGAAATTAACCACTTGTTCTCTTGATACTATTCCTGCTGTCCTATTTAAGGAGGTATTGGAGGTTGTTTTACCTAGTGTACTTTCCATTATAAATGCCTCTCTGCATAGCAGCACTGTTCCATCCTGTTTAAAACATGCTGTGGTTCACCCCTTGCTAAAAAAAAACAAACCTAGATTCTTCTGAACTTCATAACTATAGACCTCTTTCTAAGTTGCCCTTTTTGCTAAAAGTTATGGAAAAAGTGGTTTTAAACCAACTTAATCTCAAACAACATCTTAGATCCTTTTCAGTCTGCTTTTAAGGCTAAGCACAGAACTGAGTCTGCCCTATTAAGAGTGACAAATGACATCTTGTAATCAGTCGACTCTGGAAACTGTGCAGTTCTTGTTCTGTTGGATTTAAGCGCGGCCTTCAACACCGTGGACCATTGCATTCTGTTAAAAAGATTAAATCACGAGGTTAGCATCCATGATAGGAGTCTTATCCTTCAAATAGGAGTATATCTGTAGAAATTGGAGAATTTTCATCATCCCCAGTGCCAATCACCTGTGGGGTGCCACAGGGTTCGATTCTGGGTCCAGTTTTGTTTTCTCTTTACATGCTTCCACTACGCTCGGTCTTTGAGCATCATAAGATCTCCTATCACATCTATGCAGATGATACCCAGCTCTATTTACCATTAGACTCTGGTAGAGATTCTGATTCTCCCCTGCTAGCATGTTTAAAGGATATTAAAGAATAGATGGATGAAAGTTTTCTTCAGTTGAATGAAATCAAGACGAGGTTATCCTGTTTGGCTCCAAACCGCAGCTTGACAAATACAGTGCTTTCTTGGGGCATCTTCAGTTAAATAATCACTCCTATGTTAAAAATCTGGGGGTCATCTTTGATTCAGATCTGAAGTTTGACAAACAAACAAATTCGGTGGTCAGGGCCAGCTTTTTCCAGCTAAAGCGACTTCGAAAGTTAAAACACCTTTTTACTTTTAGGTTTGGAGACCGTTATTCACACTTTTATTTCCTTAAGGCTTGATTACTGCAATGCCTTGTATGCTGGAATCAGTCAGTCATCACTCTCACGATTACAGATAGTCCAAAATGCTGCAGCTCGTTACCTGACTGGGACAAAAACAGAGGGAACATATTTCACCTGTCCAGGCCTCTCTCCATTGGCTCCCTGTGAAACAAAGAATTGATTTTAAGGTTTTAACTTCCGTGTTCAAAGCTCTACATGGTCTTGCCCCTATTTATATATCAGAACTTGTAAGTTTTTATTCTCCTCAGAGAACACTCAGATCTTCAGTCCAGCTGTTATTAAATGTCCCGAAATCTCATTTGAAAACAAAAGGAGACAGGTCTTTTTCAGTCTATGCTCCAAAACTTTGAAACACACTACCCTTAACGATTAGAGCTTCTCCTACATTAAGCATCTTTAAAGCATCAATTAAAACCTACCTTTTTTCTCAGGCTTACTCATAACTTGGTTTTATTTTGCATGCATCTCTTTAATGCCAGGGGTTGCAGTTTCTGTGATGTACCAGGTTATGACTGTTTTTTGGCTATTATAAATGTTTGTTTTGATTATTCTTTTAAGTTATTGGATTGATTACTTGTCACGTTCTGTTTTAATATGTGTGTATCTTGCTCTGCTTGTGAAGCACTTTGGTCAACATTCGTGTTGTTTTAAGGTGCTATATAAATAAACTTTGACCTTGACCTATGTATATAAAAATACACACAGCATATATTTTGGAAATATTTACGTGTATATATTTATATTCATATAATTTATATCATATATAAATACATTTAAAATATAAACGTAACAAATTTTTCTTAAATATATACATGCATGTGGTGTGTATTTGTATATACATAATAAATATACACAGTACACACATATATTATGCAAACAAAAACTTTTATTTTGGATGCGATTAATCATTTGACAGCACTATAAATTACATATTCAAATATTACAAATAATCATTTTTACTGAACCTGTTAGTGATGTTTTATTTAATGCATGTTTGAATAAATCTGTCATAAAATCAAGTTGTTGTTTTTTACAGCCACCATTTAAATGTTTATATTCCAACAACTGATTGGTGTAGAAACCTAATTACTGTACACAATTTAAATAGCTTCTATAAAACTGTTATGTGCAAATTGAAACGTATACAGCTCCATGTTTAATGCTTTTTTAATTTGAAATAAATGTAACGTTTTGTGAGAGAATCAGACTGAACTGAAAATCCGCAAGCTGTATTTTCACACACATCGACACATGTATTTAAAAGATTATTTCAATCAGTTATGGAATATGAGAAGCAACATTGATCTCCAAAAACAAAAAAGTTTGAAAGCGTGAATGAGATTTCAGAGTTTGGCTGAGAGGAGGATTATGAGTGTAGTGTGATGGTCATCTGCAGACATTAATGCATCTCTATCGATCCTGAGTGTGGTCTGATCTACACAGGTGTGTGTGTGTTTGAGTGAGTGTGAGTGTGTGTGTGTGTGTGAGTGTGTGTGTGTGAGAGAGAGTGTGTGTGTGTGTGTGTGTGTGAGTGTGTGTGTGTGTGAGTGTGTGTGTGTGTGAGTGTGTGTGTGTGTGAGTGTGTGTGTGTGTGAGTGTGTGTGTGTGTGAGTGTGTGTGTGTGTGAGTGTGTGTGTGTGTGAGTGTGTGTGTGTGTGAGTGTGTGTGTGTGTGAGTGTGTGTGTGTGTGAGTGTGTGTGTGTGTGAGTGTGTGTGTGTGTGAGTGTGTGTGTGTGTGAGTGTGTGTGTGTGTGAGTGTGTGTGTGTGTGAGTGTGTGTGTGTGTGAGTGTGTGTGTGTGTGAGTGTGTGTGTGTGTGAGTGTGTGTGTGTGTGAGTGTGTGTGTGTGTGAGTGTGTGTGTGTGTGAGTGTGTGTGTGTGTGAGTGTGTGTGTGTGTGAGTGTGTGTGTGTGTGAGTGTGTGTGTGTGTGAGTGTGTGTGTGTGTGTGTGTTCAGCGTGGTCTGTATTCAGTGGAGTGTGTCGCCCTCTTGTGGCCGCTCAGTGGAAATAAGAAGTTTGAAGATTCTATATGTACAGTAAGCATCAAATATATTAATTTGCATATGTTTGTAAGTTTTAATCGGCTTGTTGTCCACACTAAGGTGTAAAATGGAGTATAGATCTGCTGCAGGGAAAGCTGAGCAGTGTTTCTGTCAGGTGTAGTATGTGAGTGTTAATGAGAATAGAGAAACTCGTCAGATGAGCTGTGCTGTGATGTAAAGGGACAGTACGAGCTGATACACACAGATCAGCCTGACAGCAGACATCACATCTGTCAGAAGTACATGTGCTGCAGATAGTCAGACCAGCATTTATTTCTTGATTTTCTTTATTAGTAATTGTAAAAGTGGGAATGAATTGTTTTTGGACGATGTTTGACAGCTGTACAGTGTTATCTGCAGAAGTGTAATGTCATATGGAAATAAACATGAATGTTAAGCATTACATAATGTTTCATAATGTACAGTCATATAGCTATTGATGAATGTCATTAGAACATTCAGTTCCACAAATATATAATAAAGCATTTATAACATGATGAGTGCAAGTTTACATTAGTTTGGTCACAACATACAGGATGCGATGTATGTGATTGATTTATTTTATGCTGCACATTATTTTGAAATAGGCCGTGGGCGGTGTGAAACTAATCACTTCCGGTTCCGGCGTCGCTTGTTGTTTACGTCCGAACAGAGCGGTGTCGACTCTCAAAGATTCATTCGATTCGCTCGATGAATTCAACAGACGCGCGCCTGTTCAAAACAAACGCACGAATGAATCGATTCCTTCTCGGAAATGACTCCCAACAGCAACTTCGTCTTGTGTAGTTCAGTTTGGAAAAGAAGAAGCGGGGCACGAAGAAAGTAGATTAAACGGCTAAAAGTGTGTTCGCGCGTTTTTCCAGCGCAGATGTGTGCGGTCTGAGGCGATCTTTGAGGCGATCTGCGGGCGCAGGAGTCAAATCAGTGCTCAGCCCGCACTGAAGCAGGCCCAGATCCAGCACAAGGCTTCAACGCGTTACTGTAAGATGTCTCTGGAGGAGTACGAGCGGCATTACGCCTCTCTAAACTCCGAGTCTGGATGTGAATCAGTCGGCGGAAGATCATCAACATCTGGAGCTTTCAGCGGAGAAGAGGAGAGACTGCATTACATCCCCATCCGAGTGCTGGGGAAGGGCTCTTTCGG